CTCTATGTGAGTCTATGGGTCTCTGCGGGAGTCTATGGGTCTCTGCGTGGGTCTATGGGTCTCTGCGTGAGTCTATGGGTCTCTGCGTGAGTCTATGGGTCTCTATGTGAGTCTATGGGTCTCTATGTGAGTCTATGGGTCTCTATGTGAGTCTATGGGTGTCTATGTGAGTCTATGGGTCTCTATGTGAGTCTATGGGTCTCTATGTGAGTCTATGGGTCTCTGCGGGAGTCTATGGGTGTCTATGTGAGTCTATGGGTCTCTATATGAGTCTATGGGTGTCTGTGTGAGTCTATGGGTGTCTATGTGAGTCTATGGGTCTCTGTGTAAGTCTATGGGTCTCTATTGAGTCTATGGGTCTCTACGTGAGTCTATGGGTCTCTACGTGAGTCTATGGGTCTCTATGTGATTCTATGGGTCTCTATGTAAGTCGATGGGTCTCTGCGGGAGTCTACGGGTCTCGATGTGAGTCTACGGGTGTCTATGTGAGTCTATGGGTCTCTATGTGAGTCTATGGGTCTCTATGTGAGTCTATGGGTCTCTGCGGGAGTCTATGGGTCTCTGCGGGAGTCTATGGGTGTCTATGTGAGTCTATGGGTTTCTATGTGAGTCTATGGGTGTCTATGTGAGTCTATGGGTCTCTATGTGAGTCTACGGGTCTCGATGTGAGTCTATGGGTCTCTGCGGGAGTCTATGGGTCTCTGCGTGGGTCTATGGGTCTCTGCGTGAGTCTATGGGTCTCTGTGTGAGTCTATGGGTCTCTATGTGAGTCTATGGGTCTCTATGTGAGTCTATGGGTCTCTATGTGAGTCTATGGGTGTCTATGTGAGTCTATGGGTCTCTATGTGAGTCTATGGGTCTCTATGTGAGTCTATGGGTCTCTGCGGGAGTCTATGGGTGTCTATGTGAGTCTATGGGTCTCTATGTGAGTCTATGGGTGTCTGTGTGAGTCTATGGGTGTCTATGTGAGTCTATGGGTCTCTGTGTAAGTCTATGGGTCTCTATGTGAGTCTATGGGTCTCTACGTGAGTCTATGGGTCTCTATGTGAGTCTATGGGTCTCTATGTAAGTCGATGGGTCTCTGCGGGAGTCTATGGGTCTCTGTGTGAGTCTACGGGTCTCGATGTGAGTCTACGGGTGTCTATGTGAGTCTATGGGTCTCTATGTGAGTCTATGGGTCTCTGCGGGAGTCTATGGGTCTCTGTGTGAGTCTACGGGTCTCGATGTGAGTCTACGGGTGTCTATGTGAGTCTATGGGTCCCTATGTAAGTCGATGGGTCTCTGCGGGAGTCTATGGGTCTCTGTGTGAGTCTACGGGTCTCGATGTGAGTCTACGGGTGTCTATGTGAGTCTATGGGTCTCTATGTGAGTCTATGGGTCTCTGCGGGAGTCTATGGGTCTCTGTGTGAGTCTACGGGTCTCGATGTGAGTCTACGGGTGTCTATGTGAGTCTATGGGTCTCTATGTAAGTCGATGGGTCTCTGCGGGAGTCTATGGGTCTCTGTGTGAGTCTACGGGTCTCGATATGAGTCTACGGGTGTCTATGTGAGTCTATGGGTCTCTATGTGAGTCTATGGGTCTCTGCGGGAGTCTATGGGTCTCTGTGTGAGTCTACGGGTCTCGATGTGAGTCTACGGGTGTCTATGTGAGTCTATGGGTCTCTATGTGAGTCTATGGGTCTCTGCGGGAGTCTATGGGTCTCTGCGGGAGTCTATGTATGTTGTTGAACTTCTTTCGCACCGTACGTAACCTACCGTGCTAATCAAAGGTCCGGGGGGAGGGGACATCAAGCTAAACACAAACATCAGTTCTAAAAAAACTACTTTGTCGATCTAGATTTGAAAGTGCACAGTTCCTGCGACTGCCCAATATCGGGAATGCAAGAGCGTTCCAGACGGCCGCAGAAGCGCGTCTGAAAGCTCCGCGCGATGACCACCGCCTTCGTTCGATCATCATCACCGTCCATCCGGGGTTCAGTCAAATTATTATTATTCTTAGGGTTTTTCGGTAAAGTCACGTAGGTAAAACATAAAAATTAATAAAAAAAAAATCACGACGTTTCTGAGGCAACACAAGCTTCCGTCTTCAGGTGGAACCGTCACAGCACGATTGCTGTATCAAGTGAGAGAAATTCCAAGAGCTACTACCCCGTATATATACTACGGTTCCACCTGAAGACGGAAGCTTGTGTTGCCTCCGAAACGTCGTGATTTTTATTTTATTTTTATTTTACTTTTATTAATTTAAATTTTTTACCTACGTGACTTTACCGAGAAAACCTAAGAATATGAATCCTTGCAGTCACGAAAGCTTCAAATCTAGAATTCAGTAAAATTGCTCGGTCACGGAAATCTGAAATGTCTTGTCACTGGCTCGGGACCGCCAATGGAGTGAGCGCCGAACCAAGATTCGATCGAGCCACAAGACTTATCGGCACGAAACAATGTGAAGGCCTTAATCAATTGAAATCGATTCTTTGTGCTCACCGTACTCGCAATGAATCACGTGCGCGGGAATCTATTATTTGCAATTTACGCTAATTGCACGCACGTGTGATTCAACACCAAGGCCAGGTTTGAAGCTTTCGTGACTGCAAGGATTCATATTCTTAAGTTTTTTCGGTAAAGTCACGTAGGTAAAAAATTAAAAATTAATAAAAGTAAAATAAAAATTAAATAAAAATCACGACGTTTTGGAGGCAACACAGGCTTCCGTCTTCAGGTGGAACCGTCACGCCACGATTGCTGTATTTTTATTTTACTTTTATTAATTTTAATTTTTTAACTACGTGACTTTACCAAAAAAACCTAGGAGTATGAATCCTTGCAGTCACGAAAGCTTCAAATCTAGAGTGAACACCCTCTACGGGGAGGAATTCCACCTATCTGTGAGAGTTTTTAACAGACAACGAGACAAGAAGTCACAGCTTCTCGAGACGCTGGCCTTCCTCAAGAGATGCCGAGATAACAAGATCATACCCATCGCTTTCAATAAATACTGTGTTCTTGGAATTTCTCTCACTTGATACAGCTATCGTGAGCTGTGACGGTTCCACCTGAAGACGGAAGCTTGTGTTGCCTCCGAAACGTCGTGATTTTTATTTTATTTTTATTTTACTTTTATTAATTAAAATGTTTTACCTACCTGACTTTACCGAAGAAAAAACCTAAGAATACCAAGGCCAGGGCTGAGATATCCCTGACCCCAAGCTTGGATGATCATGACGAAGAATCGAACCGAGAAAAACTGACACCCATTCCCGGAGTGGTTGCCGCTACAAGAACACAGGCCTAAGCATCGTACAAATCTAAGTTGTCTTGTGGTTGTTGTCGGTTGTTTGACTTGCATCCCACTGGGATTTTTGCACACAGCGTTGGTGTACGGTGATTTTTTTCTGAAATATTTTGCTGTCTTTTCTTGGATTTTATGCTTGCACTTAGTCACATATTCACTTTAAGATGTTTTTTGTTCATTTTGTATGCTCCAAGCATGGTGCTGTTTCATTCAGACGCTGTCGCCTCGACAGACCTGGTTTTCACCTGAGGACGGCTGCTTGCGTTGTGTTGTGGCCGAAACGTCGTGAGAATTATTTTATTACTTCCCTTCTACGTGACTTTACCGAAAGAACCAAGAAGATTTTTTGTTCATGTTTTTGTTTTTTGTTTGTTGCGGTTGCACCCGATTCAAGAGCCGAATGGCTCACAGGGCTACACCTAATACATGAACTTGAACTTGTAACTGTGTCACCCAGTGCTGGATTAAGCTAGTAAGCTAGTGCCCGCACTAGCTTAACCTGGCCTGTAGCGTCTGTTATGAAGGGGCACTCAATTACAAAAAAAACGTAAATATTAAAACACTAATTTTCTACTTGCACAGAAAAGTATTTTTTTGTGTCGTTAAACCCACCACCATCCGATACGGACGACTGGTAAGATCGTGGCCAATTCGTTACTAGTGCAGCACTAGCATATAGTGTAGTGTGTAGTGTAGTGTATAGTGTATAGTAGTGTATAGTGTAGTGTATAGTGTAGTGTGTAGTGTATAGTGTAGTGTAGTGTGTAGTGTATAGTGTAGTGTATAGTGTAATGTATAGTAGTGTATAGTGTAGTAGTGTATAGTGTAGTGTATAGTGTAGTGTGTAGTAGTGTATAGTGTAGTGTATAGTGTAGTGTATAGTGTAGTGTATAGTGTAGTGTATAGTGTAATGTATAGTAGAGTATAGTGTAGTGTGTAGTAGTGTAGTGTGTAGTGTATAGTAGTGTATAGTAGTGTATAGTGTAGTGTATAGTGTAGTGTATAGTAGTGTATAGTGTAGTGTGTAGTGTATAGTGTAGTGTATAGTATAGTGTATAATGTAGTGTATAGTGTAGTGTATAGTAGTGTATAGTGTAGTGTCTAGTAGTGTATAGTGTATAGTATAGTGTATAGTGTAGTGTATAGTAGTGTATAGTGTAGTGTATAGTGTAGTGTATAGTGTAGTATATAGTAGTGTATAGTGTAGTGTATAGTGTAGTGTATAGTACACCATACCGGTGTGTTGGAGAGCCAAACCACAACATTTACAATCTGAGTAACGACGTTTCGCCAGTAATTACAACCAGCTTCATCAGGCGACGGCCAGATTTTAAATAATCAGGCGTCAGTTTTGGCGTCAAACCCGCGACCACCTGCATACCAAGCGATGCAGTTAACATCTCGCCTCCAAGGCTCCCCCATATTAGTCTCATTAGCAAGTGACCCGAAAGAGAGAGAGAGAGAAACAGCGAGAGATTCATACAGAGAGAGAGAGAGAGACACGGGGAGAGGCGCGAGAGATTAATGTAACATCAATCTGAGTTCAATCGGTATGGGGGATTAGTATTAACACCCCGTCCCACCCTCTCCCCACCCGAACCGCGTGGGTTTTCTTTGGCTACCGCGCGATTTCCTCGCACACGAACACAACACTCACGAGCGGAGTTGCCCAAACATTCTAACATAGGGCTGCAGAGCTCGGGCAATCATTGGCACCGCTTCCGGCTGCCTGCCCCCGGCTTTTCGGTGACGGCACTCGCTCGCTTGGTGTGTCGCATATGTCCGCGTGAAAACGCACACGGTGAAAGATTACGAATGCGACACCTTTTCCCCGATCGAAGTGAATCGAACAGAACCCACGCTGAGGGTGAATCGCGTTAAAGGCAAGCGTTATGGCTTCATGGGGGACCAGGCCCTAGAGTGACATTGCGAGGCTAGGACTGGGCTGGTTCCCATGGGGCATGGAGACACAGACCAGGGCCTAGAGTGACATTGCTAGGCCAGAACTGAGCTGGTTTCCATGGGGCATAGAGACACAAACCAGGGCCTAGAGTGACATTGCTAGGCTAGAGCTGGGCTGGTTCCCATGGGGCATGGAGACACAGACCAGGGTCTAGAGTGACATTGCTAGGCCAGAACTGGGCTGGTTTCCATGGGGCATGGAGACACAAACCAGGGCCTAGAGTGACATTGCTAGGCTAGAGCTGGGCTGGTTCCCATGGGGCATGGAGACACAGACCAGGGTCTAGAGTGACATTGCTAGGCCAGAACTGGGCTGGTTTCCATGGGGCATGGAGGCACAGACCAGGGTCTAGAGTGACATTGCTAGGCCAGAACTGGGCTGGTTTCCATGGGGCATGGAGACACAGACCAGGGTCTAGAGTGACATTGCTGGGCCAGGACTGGGCTGGTTCCCATGGGGCATGGAGACACAGACCAGGGTCTAGAGTGACATTGCTAGGCCAGAACTGGGCTGGTTCCCATGGGGCATGGGAACACAGACCAGGGCCTAGAGTGACATTGCTGGGCCAGAACTGGACTGGTTCCCATGGGGCATTGAGACACAGACCAGGGCCTAGAGTGACATTGCTAGGCTAGAGCTGAGCTGGTTTCCATGGGGCATGGAGACACAGACCAGGGCCTAGAGTGACATTGCTAGGCTAGAGCTGAGCTGGTTTCCATGGGGCATTGAGACACAGACCAGGGCCTAGAGTGACATTGCTAGGCTAGAACTGGACTGGTTTCCATGGGGCATGGAGACAGAGACCAGGGCCTAGAGTGACATTGCTAGGCTAGAGCTGAGCTGGTTTCCATGGGGCATGGAGACACAGACCAGGGCCTAGAGTGACATTGCTAGGCTAGATCTGGGCTGGTTCCCATGGGGCATGGAGACACAGACCAGGGTCTAGAGTGACATTGCTGGGCCAGGACTGGGCTGGTTCCCATGGGGCATGGAGACCCAGACCAGGGCCTAGAGTGACATTGCTGGGCCAGGACTGGGCTGGTTTCCATGGGGCATGGAGACACAGACCAGGGCCTAGAGTGACATTGCTGGGCCAGAACTGGGCTGTTCCTACAGGGCATGGGGGGGCCTGGATTGCTATTGCTAGGCCAAAACTGGGCCATTTCTTGGGCTGGCAGAGCCACGGATTCCAAGTGGCTGTCTCAGGCAGCACCGAGATGTTTCATCTTGCCACGGGCCACCCCCCCCACCCCCCCCCCGACTCTCTAGCACTAACAACTTCAACTTTTACCGGGTAGAACAAAAAGAAAAAGCGACTAGAGTTCAGTAGAGTTTAGCTTCTGCTGCCGCCTTGATCCCCCCACCCCCACCAGCTCCTGCCGCTCGTCCTCGCACGCAGCGAGCGGCACCGGCGCTGTTTCTTTCGAGTTGCTGGCCGCAGATTATCCCCGCAAAAAAATTTAACCCGTAAAAACAAAGTTTTTCACTATAAATCCTTTATATGAGTGGCGGCTAGAGTCCTCTCGTCCTCTGGCTTGAGATGGCTGCCACCTATGGGTCAGATGATTGTCTGCCACCATTAAGCAATTGGTAATTAAATATAATTTATTTTTTCAAAAAAGTGTAAAAAAATTGTCACGCACAACGAGTATGTGTGCAAAATGTCAGCTCGATTGGATCACGGGAAGTGGGGTAAAAAACCACCGAAAGATTTGCACGGTCGTAAGCGCGCAAGCAAGCAAGCAAGTGAACTTAATATAAAGGATTTAAAAAGCACTGCCATTAGGGAGCATCCCCCTCCTGCACCCACTCATTGTGCAGCAACTATATTACGGCACGAACGGGTCGTGGTCTCGCTCGCTCGCACGCTTACTCGCCACAAACTTTTTAAATTGTACAAAGGCAAAGACACCCCCCCCCCTCCCCATCGCCTGTAACAGACTGTTGGGGCAAGTGCTGTTAGCGAGCGACGCCTGTGAAGGCCGGCACGGCGCACGGAGGGGGAGCGCGGCCAGCACCACGCCCGGCCGCCGTTGTCTCCCCAGTGGCGACGTTTACTACACACGGCGGCAGCTACTCGTTTGAGGACCGGTTCGGATAATCGTCACCAGGTGCCAGAGTTCACAATCGGGTATCCGATACCCGTACCCTACCCGATACTCGGCTACCCGTACCCGGCTGGGTACGGGTAGCCGTTTGCGACCCTGGTGCGGCCGGGTATGGGTACGGGTAGGCCGTGAGTCACTGGTGAGTCACCGTTTGTCACTCATTTCCCAACGTCTTGTCTCTTCTCACAATTCAAGTTCCTAGAATCAACCCACCCGCGCCTGCAACATGGCTTAATCCCAGAGGTCGCAATCAGGTACCCGATACCCGTACCCTACCCGTACCCGGCCGGGTACGGGTAGGGTACGGGTACGGCCGGGTACGGGTACCCGTTTGCGACCCTGGTGCGGCCGGGTACGGGTAAGGAATCAAAACCCGTTTGCGACCTCTGCCGGGTGCTTGGTGGTGGCCGTGAGCGGGAATCGAACTCCCGTCGCCGGATTCGTTGAGCAGTGCTACAATTGCGACACCACCGGTTTCACACACACACACACAGGGGGGTCCCCTTTAGCCTTACAAACTGCCAGTACAAGGGCTATACACGGGAATGATGGCTGGGGCGCTTCTGAAAAATAACGAATAGCTCAGTGAGGCCTTAGTTGGTGATACATAAAATAACCCACGCCGTTTAGTGTTTTAGTTGATTTAATTTCAGCGATTTTCTCACCTACCCCTTACACTTTGCACTCATATCGTTTTTTTTAGTTTTCGTATCCTTTACTGTTGCACCGACCCCCCCCCCCCCCCCCCCCGTATTCTTTGTACGGGGAAATTGATTTTTCAGGTCCTGATACGGCGGCGTGGAAGCCGCGTCAACGCGGGCACAACAAATAATCGCGCGGCCAAATTAAGCGATTCGTGTTTTGTTTAACCCTTCATCATGTGCATTTGCAGCATTTAGTGTGTGAATCCACACATCCAAAGGGCAGCTGCAGCGTCAGCGTCAGCATGCAAGGTCACAGACAGTAGCATGATGAGTAGAATCATTGAGGCCAACTATCAACATTGATACGTTTAAAAAAACTGGTTTTGTTTAATAACATTATTTTTGTCTATTTTTTTGTGTTTCTCTCTCGTGATGGGACTCTGTAGGATGAACGTTGAGATTTATGAGGGACACGGGGTGACCAGTAAGGTCTGAATTGGTCTGCAATAAGGTGGAGCAACTGATAACGGGTTGAAAGGTTTGTAGTGGTGAGTGTAGTGGTGAGTGTACTAGTGGTGAGTGTAGTAGTGGTGAGTGTACTAGTGGTGAGTGTAGTGGTGGTGAGTGTAGTGGTGAGTGTACTGGTGGTGAGTGTAGTGGTGGTGAGTGTAGTGGTGAGTGTAGTGGTGAGTGTACTAGTGGTGAGTGTAGTAGTGGTGAGTGTACTAGTGGTGAGTGTAGTGGTGGTGAGTGTAGTGGTGAGTGTACTGGTGGTGAGTGTAGTGGTGGTGAGTGTAGTGGTGAGTGTAGTGGTGAGTGTACTAGTGGTGAGTGTAGTAGTGGTGAGTGTACTAGTGGTGAGTGTAGTGGTGGTGAGTGTAGTGGTGAGTGTACTGGTGGTGAGTGTAGTGGTGAGTGTACTAGGGTGAGTGTACTAGTGGTGAGTGTGCTAGTGGTGAGTGTAGTGGTGAGTGTAGTGGTGAGTGTAGTGGTGAGTGTAGTGGTGTTGTGTAGTGGTGAGTGTAGTGGTGAGTGTAGTGGTGTTGTGTAGTGGTGAGTGTAGTGGTGAGTGTACTAGTGAGTGTAGTGGTGAGTGTATTAGTGGTGAGTGTACTAGTGGTGAGTGTAGTGGTGAGTGTACTAGTGGTGAGTGTATTAGTGGTGAGTGTACTAGTGGTGAGTGTACTAGTGGTGAGTGTAGTGGTGAGTGTACTAGTGGTGAGTGTACTAGTGGTGAGTGTAGTGGTGAGTGTAGTGGTGAGTGTACTAGTGGTGAGTGTAGTGGTGAGTGTAGTGGTGAGTGTACTAGTGGTGAGTGTACTAGTGGTGAGTGTAGTGGTGAGTGTAGTGGTGAGTGTACTAGTGGTGAGTGTAGTGGTAAGTGTAGTGGTGAGTGTATTGGTGAGTGTATTGGTGAGTGTACTAGTGGTGAGTGTGGTGGTGAGTGTAGTGGTGAGTGTACTAGTGGTGAGTGTAGTGGTGAGTGTACTAGTGGTGAGTGTAGTGGTGAGTGTACTAGTGGTGAGTGTATTGGTGAGTGTATTGGTGAGTGTACTAGTGGTAAGTGTAGTGGTGAGTGTAGTGGTGAGTGTAGTGGTGAGTGTAGTGATGAGTGTACTAGTGATGAGTGTAGTGGTGAGTGTACTAGTGGTGAGTGTAGTGGTGAGTGTAGTGGTGAGTGTAGTGGTGAGTGTACTAGTGGTGAGTGTAGTGGTGAGTGTACTAGTGGTGAGTGTAGTGGTGAGTGTAGTGGTGAGTGTAGTGGTGAGTGTCTCTGTGTTTGTATTTCTCCCTCGTGATGGGACTGCAGGATAAACGTTGAGCTGTATAAGGGACACACGGCGTGACCAATTGCTCTTTAATAAGGCAGGTCGGGCAACTGATAAGGGGGTTGACAGCTACGAAATACAAATTCCAATCACTAACAAAGGCCTCCGTGAATTTACCTACGTAAATACTGGGACAAAAAAACGTGGGACAGGCAGATTAAGTGGTGGCTTTGTGGCGTAATTACCAAAAGTAAACGCACTCAAGCAAACAGAACGCCT